TATATATATATATACTTTTCTCAGAGAATTTAAAATTATAAATTGAGCTAAGATGAAAATTAATTCAATTTAAAATATTTTGGAACATTTTTTTCTTTTTAACTACAAATCCTTAAACGAGTTTCTAGTACACATAAAGAAATATACAAGGAAATAAATAAAACAGTTTATACATTTTAAAAAATTTGTTTATAGATGCACAATACACGATGAACACATGTGTATAGTAGAACATACGATTTTACTGCGCAGCCGCCGTGCTCGGCGCCGAGCTAGTGGCTTGCGCTTGATCCTCGCGCAAACGATCCTTTTTGAGTTGTCCCATAAAGGAGGCCTTATCAGCGGCGGTCTGGAAGCGACCATGTCCAAACTTGGAGCTGGTGTCAATGAATTTGAGATTGATCTTTTCCAATGCAGATCTCTTCGTATGTACTAACAAGGACTGGAAAATACGTTTCAACATTAGTTTTGTTTTTTCATAGATAAATATCAATAATATTCATGTATTTAGTCAGTCCTATCATTTATAACTATCATCGTGATCAGAATAATACTGTAGGCTCTCATAAAATCTCATCATGTAAATGCGAAAAAATATATCGTTATTCATTAGTATTTGTCCTTACTTTTCTTAGAGTAATCACGCGTTTCTTCGGACCCATACAGCATCCCTTGATCATAACAAAATCATTGTTCACTTCACCATAGTGCGGGAAGCCACCCATGGGCGTAATGGTCTTCTCGGTAAGATCGTATTCCGTGGAAGCATTATTTTTCACGATCTAAAAGTATTTAGATAAATATGATAAAGATAATTTTGAATAAAAAATTTTTAATATTTATTTTATTGTGACTTATTTTGGAGACCTAAAGCACAGATATGGTATTTGTGCATTAGGCACTATGACTAATAAGTAAATTTTATTTCGCCTTTTCCAAATTTAAGAATCAATCTTTTGACAGAGTTTCAAAGATCGACTTAAGGTAAGAGGCGTATAAATTAATTATAATTCCCAAATTTAATTACTTTGCCATCCTTGGTGTGGATGCCTTGTCCGATTCTATAGATCTTCTTATTCATTTCAGTACGATGGTGATACCCTTTCTGACCAGCGCGCGCAACAGTAAAGGACACGCGGCTTGGATGCCACGCACCGATACAAGCAACCTTCCTCAGACCCTTGTGAGTCTTGCGCGGCAATTTCTTAGTGTGCCACCTGGATGTAACGCCTATAAAAAGCATAAAAAATATCAATTGCTTAAAGATTAAGTAAGCGCTCGTGCACATACTAAGGAAACTAAATTTGATTCACAGTTAGTCTTATTTGGTCAAGGACCTCAGTAGGAAGGCAGCATGGTTATATCCTCAAGATAATCAGATAAATGCACATCATGCTTTTTTCATCATACAGTCCTAAGTAGTTTCTTATAAAACATGCTTCTCATTCTAGGGGGAAAGGGGGGGGGGGGGGGGCATATAAAAGAGGAAACGTAAACGCGCAGTTTCGGGGGGCAGTGGGGGCGAGCAGAATT